CAGCTTTCAAAGCCTGGGGGGAAGCCGGCGGGGGGGGCATCCCAGGCGCGCCTGGGCTGCTCCCCCGCCGGAGCCCCTCCGCGGCTTTCAAAGCCTACTTCGCGGATTTTCAGCTATCGCGGTCGGGTTTGGAACCTATCTACCGCGATAAACGAGGGTTCACTGTAATTTATTTTCAGTAGCGTCCCCAATATACAATCTACTGTAGAAGCACGTGCACATATTGAAAGGTTTTTGCCCTATGACTTAAGTTTTCTCCTCTCTTAAAAGACCACATCAGAGGTAGCAATGTAAGCATCTAGTCAAGCAATTGACTACCTAATAAGCATGTGCTTATCAGATACTTGAGTGATTACTTGACTAGTTCCTTCCTATCAGAAGCAGCAAGTGGGGAGATGGAGCAGGAGCCAGTACTGGGGGTTTCAGCATTGGTCTCCATGCCAGGGGAGGCATAGGGACAGTGGGGGACTGGGTGCAAGCCAGGAATCAGCTGATTCCCGGCTTGCACCCCGTCCCAGATGCTGTGCCTCTGCTTTTTAAATGTAGTAAGAGCCACATTTAAAAGTCAGAGCCTCAGTAGTTGAAATTCCATCAGCTACTCGATTAGCTGATTAAACAAAATTTAACATCCCTAATAAGAGCGTCAAAAAACAATGTATAAAGAGAAAAGAGGTACAAAAAAACTTGTGGGAAAAGTCATATGGTGGTTGGTCTTACCTTAATTATTGTTTCAATGTAAAGCATCCCCAGTTGCCCCACAACTTCACAGTCAACTGGCTGATTTCTGTCAAGTGTTTCTCTAATGTGCAAACTTTTTGCATGTTCACAGCAGTTTCTGAAGGTAAAAGCATTCTCAAATGTGATTGTTCACAATGGTTGAAATGGCTTAGTAGTGAAGAAAAAAATGTTGTAAGCTTCTGCAGTTGAGTTTATCATGTCTGTAAAATTGTATTTATGTGTAAAATTAGAGAGAGCAAAATTTTTTGTTGTCGTTATTTCCAGGTCACCAAAGATAATAGTCTGATTGAGCTACTGCAGAGCCAGCTTGCTGATTGTCAAGAAAAACTTCATAAGCTAAATTGGATGGAAGATAAACTACATGTTTTAGAAGAGAGACTGAAAGGGAAGGTGATTATAGATGAAAAGGACTGGAATAATCTCCTGAGCAGGGTCTTACTCCTTGAAACAGAACTGTTATTGCAGTCAAAAAAGGTATTTTACTATAAACCTATTTTATTAGGGAGAGAGAATCTGTAGCAGGGTGGATTAATTTAAATCAGTGATTTTAATCTTATTCATCATTTGAATGTTATTTGCTTAAATAAAGGATGATTCTTATAGGTTGGTATAACTATCAGAATATATTGCTTTGCAAATAAATACATCAAACTTGAGAGTTATGAACATCAGAATTATGAACAGATTGATCAATCACACACCTCATTTGGACCAAGAAGTGCGCAATCAGGCAGCAGCAACAGAGACAGACAAATGCAACTACAGTACAGTACTGTGCTAAATGTGATCCACTAAAAAGATAAAAGTTAAGTAAAAAAAAATTTGACAAGCTAAGAATTTTCTGTGCTAGTTTCATTTAAATTAAGTTGGTTAAAAGAACTATTTTTTTTCCTGAATAGTAAAGTTTCAAAGCTGTATTAAGTCAAAGTTCAGTTGTAAACTTTTGAAAGAACAACCATAATGTTTTGTTCAGAGTTATGAACAGGGCTTGGCAAATTTGTTCATCTACTTGCCCACAGCCCCGATTTCAGCCAGTTGCGCCATTCATTTTTACTACCTTGCTAGAAAATGGGGAGTGAGGCATTTCTTTTGTACTAGATTTTTTTTTACTTGTGATTTATATCAAGATACATTTAGATAAAAATTGGAATGCAATTCAGAATGTACAAAATAGCATTCAAAATTTGCTAGTTAAATGCTGGATACTTAAGAAAAAAGTAAGTTTATCAAATCTGTTTTGCGTTTAAAACCTAACTGTGAAATAAAGGAGGTATTGTCTATAAGAAGTGGTTCTCAAAGTATGGTCCTCAGAACACCAGGTGGTCCACTGCAGAATCTCACCCTCCTTCCCTCCATGTAGAGGGGAGCCTGGGCTGCGGCTGTAGCCTTGCGGTTGGCACACAGCCATGAGGCTGTAATAGCAGTTCTGGCCTGCAGGCAGGGAAGGGAAGAAAGCAAACTCGTCCCCTTCTCTCCCCCCAGCGGGCTGCGGAGCTACACATGGAGGAGTGCCGTAGCTATGGTAAGAGCAGCGCTTCTGTGGTTGGTCCCATGGGGCAGACAACAGGTTGGGCTACATGGGGCTCAGCCGGGCAGGGCAGGCTCTCGTGGTGCACAAGTGGCCAGCGCGCCCTCCCCTTCCCAAAGCAGGTTGGGCTGTGTGAGCTGGCAGTGATGAGAGGAGGCAACGATGGGACTGAGGACCCTGCACACGCAGGAGTCAGGTGGGGGCTTGGAGCTCTTTGGAGCTTTGTCCCAAAGTTCCCTCTAAGCTGCATGGTGTCAGCGGTGCAGTGGTTCAAAGCTGCCCAGCCAGCAGAGAGATCAGCTGATTGGCGGGGAGTAAACAGCAGCTATTTTTTAAATGGAGAATAATCATCAGATAAGGAGGGAATGAGTGTCTGGGAGGAGGGAATGAGGGAGTAATTAATTGACTGGGGGGGAAGTCCCATCTGCAGGGGAGAGGCAGAGACCCAGCAATCTCTTCAATCTCGCTGGGCTGGGCTGGGGGGGAAGTAAAGGGGCTGACTGCATGGGATAGGTTGGGGAAAGAGAGAGTGAGGGTATGTCTACACTACCCCCCCTAGTTTGAACTAGGGTGGGTAATGTAGTCATACGGAGTTGCAAATGAAGCCCGGGATTTGAATTTCCCGGGCTTCATTTGCATGAAGCCGGCCGGCGCCATTTTTAAATGCCGGCTAGTTCGGACTCCGTGCCGCGCAGCTACATGCGGCACGGACTAGCTAGTTCGGATTAGGCTTCTAATCCGAACTACCTGTACACCTCGTTCCACGTGGCGTACAGCTAGTTCGGATTAGAAGCCTAATCCGAACTAGCTAGTCCGCGGCCACGCAGCACGGAGTAGCTAGTTCGGATTAGGCTTCTAATCCGAACTAGCTGTACGCCTCGTGGAACAAGGTGTACAGCTAGTTCGGATTAGGAAGCCTAATCCGAACTAGCTAGTCCGTGCCGCATGTAGCTGCGCGGCACGGAGTCCGAACTAGCCGGCATTTAAAAATGGCGCCGGCCGGCTTCATGCAAATGAAGCCCGGGAAATTCAAATCCCGGGCTTCATTTGCAACTCCGTATGACTACATTACCCCCCCTAGTTCGAACTAGGGGGGTAGTGTAGACATACCCTGATTGAGTGCTGGCATCTGTGCAGTCAGGGGGCATTTTGTTTGGGGTGTCTGACTCACAGCAGTCTTCTATTAGGCTGGTTTAGTGGGGTGGAGGGAAAGCCAGGTGTGTGTGTGTGTGGGTGTGTGTGTGTGTGGGTGTGTGTGTGTGTTTGTGTGTGCGCGCGCGCTAGGAGGACATTTGCATGATTACATTTCAAATAAAGGTCACATAGGTGTTAAAATAATCTTTTCTTTCTTATCTTAAGCCATTAACCGTTTCAGAGGGGCAGCTGTGTTAGTCTGTAGCTGAAAAAAACCAGTGAATAGTACTAAGGTGCTGCAGGACTTATTTGCAAGCTCTTTGAAACATGCAACTGTCTGCAAACCCTGAAGCTATGTGTTAATATGTTCTGGGGCTTCTACTCTTCCTTCAGTAGAAGGCTAATTCCCTACCTTTGTCCAGCACCTTTGTAGTCACTAAAGGTACCTCACAGCAACTAGTCACGGGTGTCTTTTTTTAAATATATTTTATTCCACAAATATGGACTGCTTAAAATTTATGTATATATTGTTTGTCTGTGTGTGTGTTGTTTGTATTGGTGCTGCACATCCACACACCACCTCAATATTGGTGGTGCACATAAGAAAATTCAAACTGGCAAGGATAGAAAATGTTAGAGGGAACACATTGCACCCATGGGGACTTCGTCTGGATGGAGCAGCTGAGCAGCAGCTCGGCCCCTGAGGGTGCAATAGACTGGACTCCGTGGTTCACCATCCACCCTGCAGGGCTAGACACCCTGGGATCACCTATCTGCCCACCCCCACCTTGCTGTGATGCTCCCATCCTCCCTGCCCTCTACCTCTCCATTTCCCTGAATCCCCACCCCGTGCTACTTTGACCCCTGCTCTGTTTCCAGGGGCACCCTGCTTCCCATCTCTGTGAACCCCCTCAGCTACTCGGCCCCCCAGCTTTAGCCCCAGGCACTCCCTGCCACAGTCTCCTGGCCCCTGGCCAGACACCCTACACCAGTCTGCTCCTGCACCCTCCTTCCTGGCCAGCCACCCTCCCTCCTGGCCAGACACATACCCCACTCTACTCTTCAATCCATGGTTGCTCCTTGCACCCTCCCTTGCTCTTGCTCACTCCCCCACCAGACACCTTACTCCCAGGGTTCTTCTGCACCCTACCTCCCACCCAGACCTTGCACCCTCATCCCCTTCTGCACCCCACCTTCCTCCCAGATTCTGCACCCCATACCTATCCCAATCACTGGCAGTCCTGTCCTGCATACTGAACCCCTCATTTTTGTCCCCACACCAGAGCCAAAGGGGTCCATAAAATCCACTAACTTTGGAGCCCCAGAAAAGTAAATTTGGCCTATGGGAATCCCTGAACTTCAGTCTTCCCTTCTTCTTCCCTTCCCCTTGCCCTGTGGGGCTGGAGTGCCAGAGGAGTGAGGTATCTCAATCGGGGGCCAAATCAGTGAGGGTTGGGGTTTTTTGAAAGAGTTCTTTTGCTTCTCACTTGTGTGGTCCCCAACTGATTTTTCTGTGGATCAGTGGCCCCTGACACAAAAAAGGATTTCCATACCTGCCATAAATGAAGAAAACATTGAAACCTTTTGTGTTGGACATAAATTAATACTTTATTTTATTTTAAGTTAATTTTGATAAACATGAGAGAGTTTAAAATACTCAATCTATTTAATAATTTAAATTAAACCATTCTCCCTAGCTGCAGCACTAGCAAAGTGGCTGGGGTGTAATTATATCATTAATGGTGAGTTTCCATTAGCAACTGGTGGTCCGCAGAAAGGCTTATATTGAGCCAGGTGGTCCAAGGGCCCCAAAGTTTGAGAATCACTGGTCTATAGTTAGTAAATTGAACTGATTGTTTCAAAGACTCATAGAGTATGTCTACACTATGATAAAAGACCCACACTATGATTTCAGCTAGTCCTGGTCAGCTTACTTGAGTTTGAAGGGCTTGGTTTATGGGGCCATAGAATTGCTGTGTTGACATTCGGACTCTGGCTATCCAGAGTGAATGTCTGTGTAGCTGTTTTGCAGCCTTGTATCTTGAGCTCTGTGAGCTTGAGTCAGCTAAACCATCTCAACTATAAATGTTAAATTACTCTGTGTGCGTGCATGCATGCGCGTGTAGAGAGAGAGCGAGCGAGAGCCATAGATTCTGGTCACCATGCCCTTCAAGATTTTAGAAGTAGTAGATCTCATTCTCATACCTTGGTTTTATTCATGGATTGGAAGAGAAAAGCAAATGCTTTCCTCTTCAACTTACTTCTAATGAACTAGTGATTAAGCTGAAATGGAAAAAGTATTCTTTCTGTACTTAAAGAAGAGGTTACTGATTCAAAAACTAGGGTAGCATTTCAACAATTATATGGTTCTGAGTGACTTTCTTTACAACTTCAGAAAATGTGCTGCTTAAACACTACCTGTTCACTTAATTTTAAATGTTTTTAATAGATTAAGCCTGATACAGGTTTTCATAATTTCAAATTTAATTGTCAATAAGTTTTTTTTTAAAGAAAAATGTATTTTAAATTTAAATGTGAAAGAATGGACTTTTGATTTAAAAATGTTTTCTCTATCTGGATCTGTATTCATATTTAGCAGTTAGAATATCTACTATTTATAAGGTGATATGTGGCCATGATCACATGACAATATTTTAAAGAAGGCAGAACCTCAATTTCCTCATGAGCCTGCTATTCTTCATTTCTCCCAATTGTGCACTCCTCCCTTTCAGAGGCCCCTGCCTTCCCCTCATCCAAAAAAAGTTAGTGGCTTATAACTGAAAAGTGCACCGCTTTTTTTCAGGGCCTCAGTACTGTGCATTGTAATGGTATTTCCCAGAAGAAGTCCACAGAGCCTGAGGGAACTACAGAAATAGCTCTGCAGTTTATCAGTGATAGCCACTGTGTGAGTTGTGGTACTAATATATTTGCTAAAGAAATACTGTTTGAGATGTTGCTATTGTGTTATGGAAAAATTCCGCCTGCTTAATGGCATATGATTTTTCTTACCCCAGACTGTCTTATCCTACCCTGATGGATTTTCTTTCTCCTAACTGTAATAGTTTGTGAGACAGCCAAAGTACCACTGATGAGGTGAATACTATTTAATTTCCCAAGACAAGGCATATCATATTTTCAAAATACATAATCCTTTTTACAGGAGCTTCTTGAAAATGTTAGGCTTTCATTCTGTTTAGCATTCTCTGGGTTTCCCACTAGACATCTTCATTTCTGATGGTAGAAGAATGTACTATTTTATCTTTAGGTACACTTCATTCATTGGGCAAGTGTCTCATTGATCATTATCTTATCAATTTCTGTTTTAGTGGTTTTCATTTCTCCAATTCTTTTACTCCTTGTTGGTGACATTATGTAAACTTTCTAAATGCACCTGAGATTTAATGACATCTAACAAATTCTTGAACTTCATTAGAGATAATTTTTTATCTCAGAAGGTTGAGAGAGCTACTGGGGAAAGCTGTTCTAGATTTGATTTAAACAAATAGGGAGGAACTGGTTGAACATGTGAAAGTGGTCATGAAATCATAAGGTTTCTTGATTCTAAGGAATGATAGAAGGGAGAACAGCAAAATGAAGACAATGGATTTCGAGAAGGCAGATTTTAGTAAACTCAGAGAGCTGGTAAGTAAGGTCCCATGGGAAGCAAGGCTAAGAGGAAAAACAACTGAAGACAGTTGGCAGTTTTTCAAAGGGACATGTGGCGAGGACCATTCAGTCCTGTCTACCGGCCCCTCCCCCCCAAGTCTCTTCCCTTGAGTCTCTGGCCCTCTCTCACAGTCCTGGGCGGCCAGTCACGCTGACACTCCCCGCCTTGCCGCTCAGGCCGTTACTGTTTGGCTCCTGGCTTGGCCAAGTTGGTCGCTTGCCATCAGGTTGCCTCACTCTCCTCTCGGGGAAATTCCGTCACAGTCAGCGTTGGCGTCCTGGGCATCCGTTGCCCCTGGCGCCTTCCGAGCTTGTCTTCTCCACCTGCGAGGGATGAGAGCACAGCCAGACCCTGCTCTCCTCCCCCCTTTTGTTCCCAACTGTCTCTCTTGAACATCCCGGCTGGCGTCCCACCCCCGTACGCTCAGCGTACCGGCTGCCCCCTCCTGGGTCCTATGGTCCTCCTGCCTGGCTCCCAGCTCTACTGCGCCTGCGCCCGTGTGTCCCGCTCTACTGTGTCCCGTGCCCCCTGGCGCTTGCGCCGCTGGCATGCCATTTACTCTTCGCGGCCCCCCCTACAGCTGCTGGCATCTGCCGGCCAGCTGACTTGAGTGCGGGGATTGGCTTCCCCGTCACAGGACATTATTAAGGGCTCAAAAGCAAACTATTCCATTGTGTAGGAAAGATAGAAAGCATTGCAAGAGACTGCCTTGGCTTAACCAAGAGATCTTACATGATCTAAAAATAAAAAAGGAGTTGTATAGAAAGTGGAAACTAGGTCAAATTACAAAGGATGAATATGAACAAATAACGCATGTATGTAGAGGCAGTTTCAAAGGCAAAGGCACAAAATGAGCTCGATCTAGAATGTTAGGAAGCAAGTAATTAGCTAATCATGTACTTGATAGAATGTCTATCGACTACACGATTCGTCGATAAAGGAGGAAGCCTCAGTCCCGGCTCATGCCGGGTGTAGGAGCTACCTTCCATTGTGACTGTAGTTTAAATGTAGTAAGAACTGGGAGTGTAGGCAGCCTGGCTCCGATTACATTTAAACTGCAGAGCTGCAGCGGGGGTAGGTCCCAGACCCAGCGCGAGCCGGGACTGAACAAAGCAGCCCCGTCCATGGTGGCTTAGGATGGCCGCGAACACAGGCTGCTCCAGAAGCAGCCTCTGTCTGTGGAGGACCAGGCACTAGCTTCTTACTCCTCCCGCTTTGCTGCCTCTGATATAGAGGCAGCAGTGGAGTGTGTGTGGAATGCGAGTAGTCTACTTGACTAACAGATAAGCCAAGGCTTATTGGTTAGTCAGCTACTCACATCTCTAGTTCAATCTAGCTAGAGACACAAAGGGTAACAAGAAGGTGTTCTATAAATATATGAGAAGCAAGGGGAAGACCAAGGGACATGGTAGGGAGGGAGAAACAATAACAGGAATCTTGGAAATGGCAGAGATGCTTAATGACTTATTTGTTTTGATTTTCACCAAGAAGATTGATGGTGATGGGATGCCTAACATAGTGATTGTTAGTGGAAATGGGATAGGTTTAGAAGTTAAAATTAAAAAAAAAATTCTTAGAAAAGTTAGATATCTTCAAGTCACAAAGGCCTAATGAAGTGCATCCTGGAATACTCAAGCTGATAGAGGAGGTATCTGTGCCTTTAGCTATCATCTATAAAAAGTCATGAAAGTTGGGATTGATTCTGGAAGGCTGGAAAGGAGCAAATATTGTGCGCATCTATAAAAAGGGAAATAAGAACAACACAGGAAACTACAGACCAGTCAGCTTAACTTCTGTGTCAGGGAAGATAATAAAGTAAATAATTAAGGAATTCATCTGCTAACTTCTGGAAGATAATAAGGTGATAGGTAACAGCCATTATGGATTTGTAAAGAACAAATCATGTCAAACAAATTATAGGTTTCTTTGATACTATGATAAGTCCTATGGATAATGGAGCAGCAGTGGACGTGGTATACCTGGATTTTAGTAAGTCATTTGATACAGTCTCACATGACCTTCTTATAAATAAACTAGGGAAATATAACCTGTACAGGGCTACTATATAGTGGGTGCATAACTGGCTGGATAACCATTCTCAGAGAGGAGTTATCAATGGTTCACAATCTTGCTGGAAGGGCATAACCAGTGCGGTTCCGTGGGTGTCTGTTTTGGGATCGGTTCTGTTCAATACCTTCATCAATAAACCAATTTTCTTTTGTAATATAAATGGGCATATGGTAAGGATGTTAAGAGGCAGGTAACTTACTAATTGTGTAGTTGATAAAACTTTTAGTCAATAATGGAAGGCTTGCACCAGGTGCAGGAGCTACCCCTGCTGCAGCTCTGCAATTTAAATGTAAGAGCTGGACACACAGGCAGCAGTGCACGGGTGGGACAGGTGGCACTGCGGAGACGGCTCCTGCTTCCCCCTCACGCTTTGTGCAAGTGGGTGACTGAGTATGACTCAACTACCTGATAAGCCTATGCTTATCGGGCAGTTGACTACTTGACTACTTGCTTACATCCCTAGTATATAGATATAAAAGGTGAAATTTTGCATGCTTTCCTCATAGGGGTAGTCATGTAAAACTGTCCATAATGCTAGCAAAATTTGATCAGTCTTATACATAGATATGCATGTATTCACCATTTGATTATAATTTTAGTACTAAGATGGCATTTAAATAAACCTTGTGACTAAGTTAGAATTTTTTTGTAAATGGCAAAAACAATTACTGTTTCAGAGTGACCTATCTACAGAATTTAACAATATGAGTGAAGAACATATCTCTAGTAGGAATATGACTCCAATTTCTCCTGGTGAGTGTTTACAATGATTTTTAATGAAAAGGTTTTCTGTTAAGCAGCTTTTGCTAACCTTGCATAAAATTGTATCATAGGTGAGATTTTAAATTGTTTAAATGGATGCAGTCAACTTGAAGTATTAATTAGATTTTTTTATTTTTTACGTTCATCTTTTCAAGGTATTATCCAGCCCCTAAAATCACCCTGTTAGTTTTGGAGCTTTTATGTACATTTCTTACTTGATAAAATATGTTTTCCGCCCTGTCCCCCCATGTTGCTCTGTTTATCCTCACAAAGATAATGAATTATTAGAAGAAAAGTATTTTTCATTTTTGTGTTTTGTAAGCTCAGAAAAAGGCCTTAGACATATGCGATTTTTTTTAGTTGATATTAAGCATAAATCTAAAGATTTATTCTTTTTTCCCTGTAACAACTGTAAAATAGTAATAAAAGTAGTGGGTAATAGCCAAGTAAATTCTGAAGGTGTACACAATAAACTTTTAAAATTAATTATTTTCTAAGTACAAAGGGACACCGGAGAGAATAACATGAAATATCTTTTCAGGTAAATACCCTGCCTCTGGACAGCCCCATTACTGCGTCCAGGGAGGTAGTGAAAGACTGAATCAAACTTTTCATTCACTCTCTTCCTTTGACTTCCTCAATATTGGCTCTCCCTTCTTTCTCAAACTGTGGTTTGCCTCCCATCAGTCTGATAGATCCTTAGTTTCCTAATTATCCCACTTGGTCTTCTTTGGTAATATACACTTAAAGTTGTTGGCACCTCTCAGTGTTGTAACTTCCCCTTAAAGTGTTCTGAGAAGTAATATAGATATTATCCAGCATGTTTATGGTGCTGTCAAAATCTTATTTTTAATAAGTCATATATTTTAACATAATTTTTGTAGACAGTAGAGTAAGGATAAAGTTCTCTCTGACTGTAATGACTGATAAGTGAAGTGACAAACTAAATACAATACCACTTACCTGTAATATTTTTCTAGATTGTCCTACATATCAAACTTGATCTGAGACTCACAGTTTGTGTTAGTGGTCTGTATAAGTTTAATTTAACTCATCACATAATGTAGATCAGCTGCCCTCTGGCAGTTCTGAAATCCACTACTATCTGGTGCAGTTTATTATTTTCTGAATGTGAGGATTCAGGAGTTTTTTTCTGTCCTCAGGGAACACAGGTTTTTCAATTAATTGCATTTGTGAAATGCTAAGATAGCATCAAACTTTTCCTGATACAAAGGATAGGTATTTTCTAATGTGTTTAATATGTTGGCTTAACTCTCTTCTGATTGAATCTTGCATTTATTGCTATACAAATGTTTAAAACCTAGTTCTGTTGAATATGTCCTAGCCCTAGATTACTGTAAAATGACTACATTTTTGTTTGTATTTCAACTGTTTATACTGTAAATCACTTACTGGACAGAAGAATGAAAAAACGTATTTGGAAAAGCTTTTCATGTTATATTAAAATATGTTTACAAAGATAATTACTATATTGCTTAATTTTTTTATGTTTAAAAGATCTTGCAGCTGTATGAGACAAGTGGTTTATAGTAAGAAAACAAATGTGAGCTGTCTAAAATTATTATTAAATATTTTGCTAGTAATTGTACTTCCCTAAGTGTTTGAATTGACTGTAATCATGACACATGCAACAATCCTGGATAATTTTTGTTGGAATTTCTTTTTTGTCTGCATCATACTAAGCATACTCAATTCATGTTATTTTAAAATAATATGATAGTCCCTTCTTGGACCTTTACCAGTAGCCTTTTTCTTTCTAAACAATGCATTCTCTGCTGTTATTACATACTGTAAATCAAACTGTTTGATAGCTGACCCTGCTGCAAGAGAGCAAAAAGGCAAAGGTGACCTAAAAATGAATATTTCTCCACAGATATTGAGAGGAAGGAGGAGATGCCAGAGAGTCTTCACCAGTCGTCTGGATACAGTTCGCTATTATCCACAGACCCATCTCCTAAAGCCGCAACCATTAATTATCATGGTTTGACAGAGATTTCAAAGGTAAGTAAAACTGGCAAATGCTTAGTTGATTTCCTTTCTAAGGTCAAGAGAACAAGTAAGCATTAGTTTTAGTTGTATATACTGCGGGCAAAAAACAGCAAAACTATGCAAAACTTCAACTAGGTCTGTCTCATAAAAATCCTTTTGATATGTAAACAGTGCTTAAAGTAATTTTTTGCATGAATTCTCCAGGTTAAAAGTCCATTTCTGAAAAATGTTGGCTTTGAAGAATTGCCTAAATATGTTGCTTTTAAATTGCAGGAGACAACAAGACAAAGAATGGAGAGGATAAGTAAAATGTAAGTAATAAAAAAGGGCAGCCTGGACTAAGGCATATATAGAATGTGCATATGTGTTCCAAACCTCAAAGGTCTCTACATCAGGTGTGGCATTTCCTTATGACTACACTGGATAATAAATCCACTTACAGTTCTGTGTTTGTGGGATGAGTCACTGTTTTGGTTTGTAACAAGCAATATAAAGCATACTTAATTATATTAACTAGGGATTAAAGAGTGTTTAGAATTTGGTTGACAACTAATAGGAGTATTATCTCTCTTCTGATGAGTTTACTGGAACTAAATAAAGCTTGTGTTCAAACTTTGAGGTGAAATATTAAATATGAAGAGCTAAATCAGTTTCAGGTTAGGCATCACATAAAGATACCTGCAGAATAATAAGCAGTATCTTTTGCTAAATCTGCGATTTGTAATAAAAGTTTACAGTTAAGAATAAATTTTTGTTACACTAGCTGAAATAAAATAAAATGCATCATCACAGTATAACTTTTATTCAAGATTTCTGTGTCTTACAAATGAGTTACTTCTGGAAGCTGAAGTCATTAATCTTGTCTGATACTTGGCAAAAACCTAAGCTCTATGATGGTGACAACCTTTTTAAAGCTAATTTGCAATATACAAAGTGTCAGTTATCTCCTCCATTAACTTTGTTTTTGTGAGTTTTGTTCCTTCTCTATGTATATTTTTTAAATGTCTCTCAAATAACATAAATGTAATAGCTTGATTAGATTAAAACAAAGAAGGTCAGGAATGCTGCTTTTATACTTAGTTTCATTAATGGCAATAAATGTTTTTTTTTCTTTGTTTTAACCAATTTTAAAAATATTTTTAGGATTGAAGAAACTTCAGAATTTTTGAAAAATTCAAGTCATACATCATAGACAATTTTCTGTCGACTTCTGGATCATAAATCTATTATGTAAATTTGTACAATTTAATTATCAGTTTTAAGGAGCATAATTGTTTTTATTTGTATTTGAAAAATAAATGTTTTCTAATAGTTTTGTGTCATAATTACATTGACTTTATTTGCTATAGAAAATTTTAATTTTTCTGGAGTTGTAGTCATCATAGCAGTGTATTTTTGTGTTGACATTTGTTGGCAGCGTGCTAAGTAATATGTTTTTTAAAGTGCAGGCTTGAGGACCATGGTTTACATCCTGTTGGAAACACTCCAGCCTGGACTTGCATATTGCACCCAAGAGACTTTCATACATACCATCTTGCCATCTGTACTGTTCAATAAGACTTAATGAAAACTTAAATGCACATATTGTAAATGTGTACTTTTTTTGTTTTGTTTTTTTAATTATAAATTTTCATGCTTGGTCAGAAAGCACCCCAACACATTATGGCTTCCATTAACACTGACAAAGTGAAGGTCATTTGGATCCTAAACACTAAAATGTGTAAGTAAGTCCACAGACTTTGACTATGAGAGATGTGTTGAGTGTTTTAGTGCTCTATTACCCAACACATTTTAAGAACAGCAGCACAGATGGAGACCATCCAGTGTACAAAGACATACAACATTTTTATGATTTGAAACTATATAAAATTTCTCTTTTGAGACATAAGTAGATGTAAGACTTCCATAAACATGATATAATCAAATCAAAGGTGTGAGTGTAGGCTGGGTAGTAAGATGGAATTTCATCCTTTTTTTAAATTTTTAAATTTATAGTGTTATATAAAGAAGCTTTTAACAACATGCTGTAGCTATCCATATTCCTTTGATTCACATGAAAAGATCAAAAAATGAGATTGCAACAGTTGAAGATATGAAAAGATTTTAAAGGTATAATTTTCAAATGAAGCAGCTGTTGCTCTCCCTTTGTATAAAAAAGATTTATTTGAATTAACAATAATTATGAGCATGTTCCTCCGTAAATTGACTTCATTTTACATATCCCATCTGAGTAATATGTAACAATCTGTTATGCTACATAAACTCAGTGAAAACCTTAAGGACAGGAATACACTGCCATTTTCCCCCAATGTATGTAAGTTGCCGATTCTCTAGAAAACAAGCTTTACATTGGTAACAACAACTTTGCAGTTTTTTGGAAAACATGCCTTATTCACAATCCACGCTTTCACTATCCTAAAGAATAATTGTTTAAATTGTCTTCTCTCTAGAATAAAAATTTCCTACTGATCTGAGATGTGTGTTGCATGAGTGTATAAGAGCTATGGCACCACCTTGTGGTGCATATTTATATGAAGTATTTTTTCAATTTAGAATAAAATAAGGGCACCCACAATCATTGTTGCTTTGAATTGGTAATGAATGACTAATGACAATGTTTTGAGTGTCAGCTTTTTGTTGTTTTCTATATTATATTGAAACAAGCTTCTACCTGGTAATTTAGGGTGGAAATTGCTGCGGTACCCCAAAATAATGTTGTGTACTTGTACTGTAGTCTGGAGAAGGAGCAATGTGAAAGATTAGTGAAACCAACATTTTGTGTTTAGGATGGAAAACTATAAGAAGTTGATGCCTGTTTGATGTAGCTTATTAATATAAAAAGGAACTTTGTGTGTGTCTGATAAAATAAAATATCTCTCAGTATACTACTGCATATTCTTAGTTTTTGCCTGATGCCATTGTCCCAGGGATGATTTTTTTTCTTGCAACACACCTGAATTTTATGAAGTGCTTTGTGATTTTTGGATTGCAGATGCTGAGAAGTACATCCTATTATTCCTTGTTTGGAAACCTTAGGATTCTTTTTTTCTGAGTGAGAAGAAACTATACTTGGTAGACAATGTTGGTCTTTTAATAATCTTTACATATATATATATAGATATTTTTTTTTGGTTGAAGTTCTATAGATCAGAGATGGGAAAATACCAGTCCATGAACCAGATCCTGTCTGCTGCCAGAGTTAACTCCTGGTGAAAATTCGCAGCCAATGGTAGTTGAGTTCATCCGTACCTTTAGAGGTACAGGTTAATATAGTGGCAGCAGCCCACCAGGGGCTAACATTAGGTGAACTGCACATGTTTTATTGCCTATCCCTGTTACAGATGAAGTACTGGCATTTTTACTATTAGGCCAGGTCTACACTAGACCCGGAGGGTAAGGTTAAGGTATGCAACTCCAGCCAGAAGACTGATTTCCAATGCAGCAAGTAGAGATGTGGTCTTAGATTGTGGTGGGAGAGGTGGGAAATATACCAGTGGCGTGCTCTCAAAAGTGCAGCTCCGCTATTAGCAGCAACAACAGAAACACTAACCTAGATGAGCTGCTTTTATTATTGTAGTGAGTAAAACTAAAAATGCTAGTCTCTCATGTAGACCTCCATGATTGCTAATGAAAAAGTTGGTGATTTCCCTGACCTTCTCCAAAGTCATTAGACATTAGAAAGTATTTTTCTTAACAGCTTTTTTTGTGACTAGGCAATCTGAAGGAAACTAAACACTTTCCTAGGTTTCAGAATGGCTGTTTTACATGACTACTGTTTTTATCTGTTTATTGTACTGTGCTTCATACTTTATCTTTTTTATATATAATTTAAAGAAATTAAAGTCTGTCTCCTCATAGATGAAACCAAGGAATCCCACCTTTTAATAGTTAAGACACTCCTAATCATGCAAATGATAATGAAGTATAGTTGTATTAAATTGAACACCGAAGCAGGAACTGTTCCTAGAATTGCAGTTGATCTTGGACTGAGTTTTAAATCTTCTAGTAAATGTGAACTGAAGCATGCCTGCATGCTTGTTTGAAGAGTCAAAGTAATAAAAAACAAAACCATAGCAGTCATCCAATATTATTTTAAAAAAATATTTAGAACATGCTCAGCTTGTGTAATAACTATACAAATTTGAGTTATTCAAATATAATCTGTGTTGTGGCTCTTTTGTTAAACTTTTACTTGGAACTGCTGGGGGGGAGGCGTTATGTGGGGAGGGTTTCTTCTTTTTAATATTTGAATGCTATGAAGCATAGCTAGTAAGGAAACAATTGCAATATATAGCTTTATCATATTGGCCTAGGCACTCTAATAGAGATGCCAGAAATAGTATCTTGGGAAGGGCTTGACTTAAATAGTCTCAACACAGTAATGCTTTTTTGGGGACAGGATTTAATTCTTAATTTGGCTGTGATCTGTGAATGTCGGGGGTAGTCACCATTATTACAAAGTATGTCCACTTTTTCTTGTTTTATGTTGCTTCTATGAATTACATTTCATATGTTTACACTGGTCCTTGGGGGAAAATATATTTCTTCCTTGTATTATTGAATAGCTCACCAGCTGGTCAGAAATATGAAGCATTTCAGCTGTGAAAAAACAGCCTGAACACACACAGATTTTGAAGATTTTATGGGGAAAGTTTTTGGGGTCCAGGGTTTTTTGTTCACTTTTGAGTAACACTCTCTGTAGGTTGGAGATATTTAGGCTACTGGCCTATATGGGACACCCAGGTTCAGTCCCCACTGTGTCTGATTTAGAGTAGAGTTTTTCATCCCAGATCAACCTAGAATCAGGCAGAAAAGGGACTTGAACCTGGTTCTCCTACATTCCTGGCCAGAACCTGAATCACCAGACTTAAGACGGTGAGAGCACATTCCTCCTCAGCTCCAGTTTCAAACCCGACTGGACATTTTGAGAGAATCCTGTTTTTTAAAAATGTTGGAAAGGTTTTAGTTTTATTCTTATGTGGAAAAAAAACAAATTCAGAAATCCTTGAAAGTTACTATGAAATGGAATTGTTGTCTCCAGATGGTTCTACAGAAGGGGAAGATTTTCATTCCATAGATGATGGGTATTATACTGCTCTTTTAACCCATTGACTTGAGTTGTTTGTTGGTGCAGCTTTGAAAAAACACTCCACTATATGAATGCTCTTTGCATCTCAAGCACATCTGAAACTTGTGTCCTTGGCAGTATGTATCTGATATATACAAAAAGTGCACTTTTCATGTATCGTTGTTTTCAGTCTGAGAAAAAAACACTTTTTCTAGCATTCCCACTAGCATTTTTCCTCTAACCAAATTAACATAACTGAGAGAGCTAAAATCCTTGTTCAGTGGATCTGTTTTTGCCTGGATCTTGAAATTAGGACTAAATTTTATGGTAATTTAGGAAGTCTCAAACACATTAAAAGAATGTAGCTTTTGGTGACAGAACCTTGGGCCAATCAAAATGACAACTGGCATTTACAAATTACAATTACAAAATTGTGTTTGTAATGATCTATAGAAGCAGACATAATAACATAGGGTATGTCTACACTACCACCCTAGTTCGAACTAGGGTGGTAATGTAGGCAACCGGAGTTGCAAATGAAGCCCGGGATTTGAATTTCCCAGACTTCATTTGCATCTTGCCGGGCGGCGCCATTTTTAAATGTCCGCTAGTGCGGACTCTGTGCCACGCGGCATGGAGTAGGTAGTTCGGACTAGGCTTCCTATTCTGAACTACCGTTACTCCTCGTTTCACGTGTAGCTGTGGGTACGGAGTCCGCACTAGCAGACATTTAAAAATGGCGCTGCCCGGCAAGATGCAAATGAAGCCCAGGAAATTCAAATCCCGGGCTTCATTTGCAACTCCGGTTGCCTACATTACCACCCTAGTTCGAACTAGGGTGGTAGTGTAGACATACCCATAGTGTTTAATCATTGACTTGCAATAAGTCACTGACAGTATATTTTTAACAGATGCCTTTCAAGTCTGTCCATGCATTTTAATCTTTATATTTTTGTTCTATTGTAAGTCAGAAAATTGAACACAAACTTAGAGGTTTTATTTGGGATTATTTGTGAGCCTTGAGTATTGATTGCAGGCAGAGAGAAGATGCAGAAAAAGCTTTCTCCAAAGTCCTGAAGTTAGTTTATACAATAATATGTATTTGTTGAGTCTCTTTGCATGTGGCTCCTGCCTATACTGTATATACATCCGTTGCACCAGACTAGGATCCATGTGCACAAAACATCTTGAAGAATGAGGTACTGTAGAAAGTAACTGTTCATTATATAGATGAACATTTATATTTGAACTGATTTAAATGAGAGCAAATGTTTGCCTTGATGACAGTATGAAATAGGTTTAACCCAGCCTTAGGAGTAATGGGAGGTATATGTAAACTAAATCCAGCAGTATCAAGGAGAATATGTGGAGTTCTGATATGTATGCAGATAGATTAGTGATTCATTTTATTTTGTTTAGTAGATAACTGGGATAATATGGGTGTAACTGTACAGAGTAGTGTTTTCATTCCATGCTAAGTTAAGATTTGGAATTTCATAGTTTTCAATGGTATAGTCTTGGATAATTAATCTACGGTAGCTTCAGTATCTTAGTTTTCACCTGAGAGAGGGATGCCTGCCTGTTTGCCTCACAGGAACATTGGGAAAGATCAATTTTTTTGCCATGTGCTTTGAAATATGGAGTATGAATAACATTTCTAACGTTGTAGACGTACAATGTCAGGGTTATTTAAATTGAAGCCACGTTTTCCTTGTTCAATTATTTAGGCTCAATTTATTCTAGTGTTAAGCATTTTACTTTTTTATATCCTCAAAGTGCTTCAATATTTTATCAGCATTGTAACAAAATATGGAAACTGATACTTGATGGGCTTCTTGGCTTGAATTTGTTTATCAAACTAATATTCATCCTGGGCTATAGTGACACTGACATCTTGCAAGGCTATTGATTTAAGTTTTGCTGCCTTCTTGTGTGTCTCACGTTGCTATTAAATCTTGAATTTCTGTATGAACTTCATGCCATTTAGTTCAAAGTGACTGGCCTAGTGTCACAAGTGTTATTTTCTGCCATGCATATTATTTCTAGCAATGTATTCTTCTTTACTATTCTGGAGCTCTATTTGGCAAAGTTCCTGGGAAAAAAATCAGGCTCCACAGCCAGAAGTTGTGATAAGTGCTTCTCCATGCCAAGGTACACAGATGTCTTGAACAGGTTTTTCTTTTCTAATAAGTCAGAAAATCCTGGAACAAGACCACTTTTACCCCCAGTTTAGAATGTTGCAAATGTATACAAATTGGAATACTTTCTTAAAAGTTAAAATGGCCACTGTGCAATCTTTATACATTTGTTTAATGTTCTTAAGTAACAGCCAGTTCATACTTTATTTCTGGCCTGTCCTTGATTTTTTTTTCCTTTTTTCATGAAGATAATCATTAACATTAAGAGAAGGTTTATTGTATGTTAAAAATGTTTAACTTTTGCTATTGCTGTTACAATACTGCTTTGATCCAATGATTATTAATTGTCCCCATTATTAAATATCTACGCACACATTATTGTCTAGTAAAGCCTTGTTGTTAATATATTTCTTACTAGGCCAATTCACTTCCCATCTAACGTTCCACCTTACAATTGATAGACATACATGTTAGCTTAAAAAAACCTCCTCTTTAACATCAGCCATTTTTATTAACAAACAAAATTCATCCATTATTTTCAAACTTAATGACCTATTATAATTTACTGAGCCATTGCTCTATAATAGGAAAGTATGACAAATACAGTCATCAAGAAAATCTAAATATCTTTGGTTAGTGAAAACTATCTACTGAAATAATGAAAATTGAATGTTAATGGTTCTGTTGTACTGTAGTTATTACAGGTTCTCGCTAGATTCCCCTATTTAGCTTTACTTTGAAAATGTCCTTTGTCAATTTGCAACACAGTCATACTTTTCATTCACTCTAGTTGCATTGTGTCTTAATCTCAGTTTGCGGTAAGTCTGTCATCTATGCAAGTGCAAGCCCTTGAAGGCTCTTACAGGTTTCTTGCCTGAATTGTATATCCTCTGAAGGCTTGTTATATTTTATGAATCCTTTGGATATCCAAGGTTATATCACTATGCAAACTGCTTTGGAAACAAATTCAATTGGCAGTAGCATAGTAACTCTCATATTTTTGCTTGCCTCAGCTAAAAAGCTAACCAATGGAGTTACAGTGTAAGTTTCATAATGTGACAATAAATTCCTTGAATAGCCTTGATTAAGACATAGAATAGTTGAATGCTGATAGATATGACTTGCTTTTCCAATTTTTTTAGCCATAGCAGCTCTTAACAGATGGTACTGTGGTTATCAATCTTGAAAAGTGGCATTTCAGTGAATTCAACAATAAGCCCCATTTAATTTTAAACAGACCAACCACTCTCACAATCTACATTATTTGTCTCTTCATTCAGGTAATGTGTTTGCTTTATTATCTGTTGAATTTGGCTTTTATTTTAGTCATGTCAGGAACCTCTTGTGTTCCAGACATGGTACGTACAAGTCATAGTAAGATTGCACAAAAGAGCTTAACTGCTACATAAACAAGATGAAGAACGAGAGAGAAAATCACCCCCATTTTAAGGAGGCTGAGAGAGACTTTGTGACTTGCCCAATGTTACACAGCTAGTGGTAGAGCAGGTGGCAGTCTACCATTTGGAGATAACCATAGTGCAGCATGCTGCAGCTCCAACCTTCCCTCCAACATGCTGCCTTTCTTTGAGGCTTTCTGGATATGATTACTGGCTGTGTTAGCTCTGTGGTGCCTCTCTCTTGTGAGTTTCTATCCTCTTTCCACTTCTCGAGTGGAACAGGCCACAGAATCTAACTCATCCTTTTTAATTTTGCCTAGTAGATAGGTAAACTTGAGCTGGAGAATAACTTATTTTAAGACATTTCCATTTCTTTAACACCCAGTCATGTTCAGATTAGCATTCCACGCCATTTTACAAACATTGTTTTTCTTAATTGAAGGTCAGTTGCCAGTATGACCAATATCAAACAATATTTGAAAATGTTTTTCAGAAACCACAAGTTCACCACTGATCAGATGAAATTGCTTTGCATACCTTAAAGCAGCCACTAGGCTTCTCTAAGTCAATCAATG